CTTAACATCGTGCAACTTCTTTCTCACTTCCTTTTCGATGTTCATATTTCTTAGAGCTCGATATTTTTTTTTGGTTTCCTCGTCAGTTTTGCACCGCTATCTGCCACGAACTCCATTGTTTCACTTAAAGGCACGGTTCACGAAAAAATGGTTTCGGAGATTTGCACATGGTTTGAATTCGACGTCCCCTCTGATACCATTTGTGCAGGTCTGTCGGAAAACGGTCTGGATAGGGCACAATAAGGGGCCGGAGAGTGAGCCACGGTCGCCCTCCGCCCCTCGCTAGGCTGACTACGAAATCTAATTGCCGTTCACCACTTTCGCATTGGAGCGAAGTTGGTGAAAAATCGATAAGCTGGTTGGCGAATTGCCAGGTTCAAGACTGTAGTCTAAATCAGCTGTTTGGGTGTGTTGTCTGCTATTGCAGGCTGCGTCGCCTTCGTGCACTCGCCCGAACACTCCCTTAACCGCCGATCTTCCAATGTGAAACTCGTCCAACTCCCTTTCCAGCTCTTTTTTTGACCCTTTGTAATTCTTTTTGTTCACCGTTTTTTGCGCTTTTTTCGTTGTTATCGCTTTATTCTAGAGTACTTCTATCAATTTCCGTCAAAAAAGGGTACCCTAAATTTATCGTAAACGGTGCCCTCAAAGTAGATACAGGCTTGTCGCGAACTGCGCCTCTAAGCTTGAATAGATAGATAAATAAATAAAAGCTCCTATATGAATATCATTGCAGGATTCTTAATTAACTCTGAAAAATTCCCTTGGTTCGAGTTCGACAGGCTCCATATTCAGATGAACTCGATCATCCAAACATCAAGACCGACCAAATATCCCGTTCTTATGATCAGAAATCATAAACATTAAGTACAATAATAGTAGGCGAGTAAATAATGACAGGCTCAAGAATAGATTCAAGATTACGATCAGAGATTTCTCAAAGACCACCGTCTATTAATGTTTTCGAACTCAAAATAAAACTGAGCAAACAACAAAATTGGGTTGAATATTCTTGGAAATGAAGGTTGCGCTTCAGGCAGTACTGTACTCCTGGATGCAAACAAGCTAAATGGAGATAGCTCGGTCAAATTGGCGAGGTTTTTAAGTTCTCCAGGGCAAATTTTCATTCACAGCCAAGAGCATTCTTTGGCTTACACCATATGGTTACTGTATGTATATGAGGTTTCGAGGGGTGCAAAACTTATTTTAGGGTTTTTTTCAATGGCATTCCTTGTATGTTCCTTCTCCAGTAGCGGAATGGTACGACGATGGCCCTAGTAGCTCGTCACCGGTTTTCTGCACTAAAAAACTTAAATGAATGAGAGCAAAGGAATTAACTGCTTAATGAAGTTTTTAGCCGCTTGGAAGGGTTTCTTGGGGAATAAAAAAAAGAAAAAAGGTAAATCAAAAGAATCGTTATAATGTCTTCGTCGTGTGTTCCCATGTCACACCATTCTAGAGAGTAGAAGGAACAAATTTTCTCAGAAACTCGGCCTTTCTTCTTGACAGCTTCCAGTTTATGACTAAATAAAATTATAACCCATTTGGCCAGATAGAGCCAGGGCCAAATAGAGCCTGAAGGTTACAGTTGAGCTCTATGATCACATCTTTTCACCTTTTGTTGTTTACTAGTTCAGTAGCATAGTAGACTTCATGACGGAGATCTCTGAATGTCTTCATGAGGTCTTTTTTTCGTAGGTTGTATGTAGGTTGCCGCCTCTGTAGTTTTCTTACCCAACTACTCTCAGAGAAGCACCATTTGCCAACCGTCATACGCATGCTTCCGTATAGATCAATTGACTACTTCGACCAACTAGTTTTGTAACTCATAACAAAGCGGATGTCAGTGGCTCATTCCACAAGACTTGGTATGCTCCGAATTCAAGGCCACTTGCCATCCAATCCTTTTTACATAATGCACCCTAGGAATGACTTGCGGTGGCCACCAGATGTATAAGTCAGTGCTTTTATAATGACAGCCAACTCTGGTACCAATCAACCGACCCCGGAGGGATGGGAGGCTTGGTTGGCATAGGCGGAAATGATATTTGCCTACACCGACCAAGCCTTCCATCCGTCCGGGTAGGTCGATTGGTATAGTTCTATGCAAACATCGCCCGACTTCTATCTTCTTCATGAAACGGTAGATTTTCCTAAAATTTCTATGCCGCGGTACAGCCTCAATCAGTCTGCGGAGGTAGTGTAGTGGCAAGTGGCGCACTACCTCATACTCCAGTCAGGAAGGGGTTTGAATCCCGGGTTGGTATCAGGCTGAGCCAAGTCCTCTACCCATTCGGAATCGATTAATCGGTACAGGACTTATTTCGGAGGGTAAAAGCCCTGGCTTGTTCAACTGCTGGTCACCACGAGTCATCGTATAGTCCACATGCTCATTCAGTGCGCCACTACGATTCTGAATGAAAGTGGAATGCGGGAGCGCATCCCTCAAGCGAGATTGATTAAGCCCGAGATTTCATCCTTGATAGTTTTTGTGTTGTTTCGCTGCTTGTCATCTCCCCTGTGGACGCCCTCTCAGGGTGCAACTTAGGTCTGTGCACGACCGTTCTGAGTCTTCATAACCAATCCTGCGTAGAAACGTGCAATCGCAGAACTGTCTTCGTGCATTTTTTAAAGTGGAGCAAAACTATTTTTTACGACCTTTTCACACCAGCCAGCACCCACTGCCGGAAACCTTTGAGTCTCTGTTTATTCCGATTCTTTTCGTGAAATACGTGGGTTATTAAAGAGTAAGGGCAAAGGTAAATTACAAACCCTGCCAATTAGTA